AATTCTTTCATGTCCGTACCAAGTAACAGAGATTTCTATTCTAACATGCTGCACAGAGTTCACATAAACAGTTTAAGCAGATAGGACACTTAATACACTTAAGCATGCTTCCCTAAACTACGCAGTAGGCTTAAAATACAAGTAATGTTCAAGAAGAAAGAAACACAGTTAATTTACTTAATGAAAAACGAGTTTCCAACAATTAGCACGTGTATGCACTCGTCTCCTCACGTACACGGCATTCATATAAAAACAATACCAAATCCTAGGGGAATATCCCCCACACAAGGTTAGACAAGCCACTTACCTCGAACCAGCTCAATTAAATCTACACCACGTTCTTGCCACGAGTATCCGATTCCAAATGGCCCAAATCTATTCAAAGTAATTCCATGATGTAAATAACACTTCAAGTAACTAATTCAACTAATTAATTCTAAGCTAATACGCGAAATTAGGAAAAATGACCAAAACGGCCCCACGGGGCCCACGTCTCGGAATCGGGTAAAATTTATAAATTCGGAATCCTTACACTCTCACGAGTTCAGTCATACCAAAAGTACCAAAATTGGACCTCAATTGGTCCCTCAAATCACCACTCAAAGCTCTCCAATAAACCAAGCCCTAACCCCCAATTTACCACTGATTTTCCTTCAAATTCCATGCTTACAATGATCAAAATCACCATAATAACGAGCTTAAGGACCAAGGACCTTACCTCAATGAATCCCTCTGAAAATTCCCCTTGAAAATGCTCCCCAAAGCTTCTTCCCGTTTGAAAAGAGATGAAAAATAACTCAAATTCGCGAAGGGCGGAATATATATGTTCTGACCCAGCAAAACCGCATCTGCGGTTCAATTACCGCACCTGCGGTCCCAGGTGCGCATCTGCAGTTCCTCACTTATCTGCCATCCACCGCACCTGCGATGACCTTCTCGCGCACCTTCGCAAATGCGCCCACATTTCCGCATCTGCGGCTCCAGCCTTTCTTCCTCTTGGCCGTATCTGCGGCTTTCCTTTCGCTTCTACGGGCTCGCACCTGCGGTCCCAAGCCGCGGGTGCGGTTATGACAGCAAACTCAACAGCTCCAGCTGCAATTCCCAACTCCAAACTTCCCGTTAACCGTCTGAAATTACCCCGAGGCCCCCGGGACCTCAACCAAAAGCACGAACAAGTCATATACCACTATCCAAACTTATACAAATCTTCAAAACACCTCAAACAGCATCGAATCGACCAATTAACATCGGATTCAAGCCTAAGAACTTCAAAACTCTCAATTTACCCTTTCGATCAAAAAGTCTACCAAACCTCGCCCGAGTGACCTGAAATTTTACAAGCACATCACATTCAACACTACGAAGCTACTCCAACTTCCGTAATTTCATTCCGACCCCGATATCAAAATCTCACTATCGAACCGGAAACTCCAAAAATTCAACCTTCGGCATTTCAAGCCTAATTAAGCTACGGACCTCCAAAACACAATCCGGACACGCCCCTAAGCACGAAATCACCCAACGGAGCTAACGGAACCAACAGAATTCCATTCCGAGACCGTCTTTATACTGCTCCGACTACGGTCCAAATTCTAAAGCATAAACTCTCATTTAGGGACTAAGTGTCCCAAAACACTCAGAAACTCAAAACGAAACCTCCCGGCAACTCAAAATAGCAAAAATAAATACGGGAAAAACAGTTAATAGGGGATCGGGGCGTTAATTCTTAAAACGACCGGCTGGGTCGTTACATATAAAGATAGAAATTATTTTGTCACAAGAAAAGAAGGTTATCTTTTTACCATTTTAAGAATTAAGCGTACAAAAATTTTGTACTCTTTATATGAGATTAGGGAAATTAAAAGTTGAGAAAATATATATGAATTTTTACATTGATATTTTAATGAAATAATAGTGTATGTATTTATTTTGTATGGTACCACATGACCATGATAAGTTATATAATGTGTATTAAAAGTGAGTAGTATTTTAAGTAACTTGAAATAATTCTTAATTATGTGGATATTTGGTAATTGTGAATTTTTGGTGTAAGATTAACCATGTAATTAAGGAAATTGGTGGATAAAATTTGGATAAGTTTAAGTGAAAAAAACGTGGCAGCTCCCTCCCCTTCTAATTAGTGACTCATTAGCCATTTGAAATAGGTGTCACATGCAGGGCACAACCCCAACGTGAAGCTACCAGTTTAATTGGATTTCATATCTTGACTTTCATCTAATTTGCTAATTTGGATGCTAATATTGGTTTTCCTTGCATCAACTTCTTTTACCTTGATTTCTAGTTATCTTGTTCGGTCCCATACCTAGGTATAGTGTCAGTTATGAAGGATATAAGGGAGAGTTCCCAACTAAGTTAAAATCTTTTCACAAGTGTGCATAGTGTATTCTGCTTCCATTTTCAGTTCAAGTGAGATGCTTATGTTCATCGATGATACAAGTGATGGGATCGCATATAAGTGTCCCTTTACTTTTGGTGCAATTTTTCTCAAGAATATCATATGAATTTTTCCCTATTCCGATCTTGCCGTTACGTGTTGTCGTAATTGACGTGTTAGAGGATTATAATGCGAATCGACTCAGGTATGTTAATGCTATCCATTCTTTCTTTTGGCAGTGATCTATACGACACAAACTAAACGAGCAAATGCACAATTTCCATAAATCTATTCCTAGAGATACAAAGGATGAATGAAATCCTTTTGTTAGTTTCAGCTACCCTACATTAACCATGCATATACCTCCATATTTGCTTTCTGGATTTCCCATCTCTTTGATCCTAGATCTTTCATGGCTGCAACTTAGGATAAACAAAAATATTTGAAAGAAAAAAAAAGAGATTTTTTTTGGTTAATTCTTCAAGATTTTTTTTTCTGGGTATGTTCTATTTTCTTTCATATAGTCTAAATTGTATTCTTTGTGCGTGTGTGTTGCCTACGGACTGGAATATGTGTTTTTGAGAGCCAAGAGCATATTCTCAAATTTGACTCGCACAACATCTAAAAAATTTATTTTAGCGATATAGAAGAAATAATTTCGTGTAATGATTTATAATTTAATATTGTAACAGTGTATCAACGTTTTTAATGAAATTCGGAGTTTTTTTCAGGAAATTGTATAAAAATAGAAGAGTGTCAAATATTGAAGAACGTTCAAAATGTAGAGATTAATGAGGGCGTTAAGTGTATTATGCCATGCTTATGTTCTTGATTCCCCATGTGTCATATTATTCTATCTTCTGATCATGGGTCTCAGAAAAGTACGTAAATTGAAAAAAGTTTATTTCATGATATTAATCTGAGGTATAATGGTCTTATGACGTTCCGAGAAGTTTTATTAATGTACTTCTTATGCATTGCTTTTATTTACATGTGCATTTACCCATGACTCAGACGGCGTTATATATGTATGTGTGTGTGTATATATATATATATATATATATATATATATGTGTGTGTGTGTGGGGGGGGGGGGAAAGGGGGGAAATGGTTACGGCGTTATATACGCATCACCACCTGATTAGCTAGTATACGATGATGACGTTGCCCACAGTGGCTGAAATGATATGATGGGATGCCCTCAGAGGCCTGATGATGTTATGAAACATGCACATATGCATTACATGACATTTATATGCATTTGCATGACCTTGTAAATATTTCATAATTTACAGAGCTATTCAGATTTACAGGTTGAGTCCTTTACTCCACGTTTCTTCCATGTCCTTTATATACTTATTTACATGCCTTACATACTCAGTACATTATTCGCACTGACATCCTTTTGTTGGGACGCTGCATTCATGCCTGCAGGTATAGATGATCAGTTGACGAGCCCTCATAGTAGACGAGATTGACATTCAGCGAAGGATCGGTAAGACTCCACCTCATTCGGAGTGCAGCCGAGTCTATGACTCATTGTGTCAGAGTTTTGCTACAGACTTATGGGTAGGCCGGTACCCTGTCCCATTTGATGTAAAATAATCGTAGAGGCTTTGTAGACAGAAATTCAGATTGTACAGTATGTCAGAGGCCTTGACGGCCCATATGTATTCATGTTTTAAGCAAAAAGTCAGTGATACAGTATTTTTCCACTTACAAATTGTATATTACGAGTTGTGGCCATGTTGGCCCATGATAGTTACAAAAAGAATGAATGAGTTACAGAGTGGTTCGTTTGGGTCACTACGGCACCGGGTGCCAGCCACGCCTCCCAGATTTGGGGCGTGACAATTTTCTTATACTCTGTCTGTGATGCCTCACTCTTTCTTTCTCTCTTTTGTTGGTGTGTAGAAATGAGAGCCGAAGCTCTCCTTTTATAGTCGAAGCCTCACTCTCTGTAGCCTACTATATTTGACAGTTTGCTCACACTTTTCCTTCTTTTTCTTCATTGTTAACAATCCAACAATGTTGGCTGCCAAACTAAGGAAATTCTCAACAAAATATTTTCATTAGGCACATGCCTATTACTTTAACTTTTGAATGAGATGGATCCAATGATGAAGAACACATTTCCTAAACCTATTTATTGTTTTTTGCTTTTTCAATTTAGTTGTAGCTGCTGCTTGCCTATCTCTTCTTCTTCTTCTTCAAGTTACTCTTTCTTTTAGATACTTATTTCGTTTCAATTTAGATTATACACATTTCATTTATTGAGAGTCTTTCTGACTAAATTTTGAAATTAAATTGGTTAGTTCAACTCATTATTTTAAACGATTCATCTGGTAAGGAGATTAGTGGAGCAGTACAGAGAGAGGAAGAAGGACTTGCATATGGTGTTTATTGACCTTGATGAAGCATACGATAAAGTCCCAAGGTGTTTGGAGGCTAGCGGCATTCGGGTAGCGTACATTAAGGTGATTAAGGATATTTATGACGATGCTAGACTCGAGTTAGGACTGTGGGTGGTGACTTCGAACATTTCTCTGTGGTTATGGGGTTGCACCAGGGGTCAGCTCTTAGCCCATTTTTATTTGCCTTAGCGATGGATGTACTGTCGCGACACATCCAAGGGGAAGTGCCTTGGTGCATTCTATTTGCCGATGATATAGTGTTGAATGATGAGACGCGAAGCGGAGTTAACACGATTTTGGAGGTTTGCAGACAGACCTTGGAGTCTAAAGTTTTCAAATTGAGTAGAACAAAAACAGAATACTTGGAGCGCAAATTTAGTGATGGGACCTATGAAGCAGACGTAGAGGTAAAGCTTGATGCTCAAGTTATCCCCAAGAGAGCGAGTTTTAAGTATCTTGGGTCTATTATCCAAGGTAACGAGGAGATTGACGAAGATGTCGTACATCGTATCGGAGCGGGTTGGATGAAGTGAAGGCTCGCTTTCGGTGTTTTATGTGACAAGAATGTGCCTCCAAGGCTTAAGGGTAAGTTCTATTGAGTGGTGGTTCGACCGGCTATGATGTATGGGGCTGAGTGTTGGCCAGTCAAGAACTCCCATGTGCAGAAGATGAAAGTAGCATGAGGATGTTGCGATGGATGTGTGGGTGTACCAGGAGAGATAATATCAAAAATGAAGTTATCCGAGAGAGAGTGGGAGTAGCCTCCGTGGAGGACAAGATGGGAGAGTCGAAGCTGAGATGGTTTGGACACGTTAAGAGAAGAAGCATTGATGCTCCTGTTTGGAGGTGTGAGAGGTTTGCCATGGCGAGTTTGAGAAGAGGTCGAGGTAGGCCTAAGAAGTACTGGGGAGAGGTGATTAGACAAGACATGGTGCTGATTCAGCTTACTGAGGACATGACCCTTGATAGGAGGGTGTGGAGGTCGAGGATTAAGGTAGAAGGTTAGTGGGTAGTCTTTAGTTGCTCACCGATTCCCTTTTTAGATTTTTATTACGTTATGTGGTTTTGTTCGCCTCAGCTATTGTATTCTCTGTTGCTATTATTTGGTACTACTTATTCTTTATCTCTCCCTTTTTCTTTTCTCTTCCCTCTTTCTTCCTTTCTTGCTTTCCTCTTTTTCTTATTACTCTTCATGAGCCGAGGGTCTATTGGAAACAGTTTCTCTACCTGTTAGGTAGAGGTAAGGTCTGCGTACATACTACCCTCCCCCAGACCCCACCCGGTGGGAACATACTGGGTTTGTTGCTGTTGCTGCTGCTGTTGCAGTTCAACTCATTATTCTAAAATGAAAATTTAGATACTTAAAAACTACTCTAAGAAAAGAACTACTCCATCTGCTTCAGTTTATGTGAACCTATTTCCTTTTTGGTCTGTTTCAAAAAGAATGACCCCTTTCTAAATTTGGAAAGAATTTAGCTTAAACTTCCAATTCTACCTTAATGAGAAGCTTTTATAACCACACAAATATTCTGAACCCCTTTTTGACTTGTTTAGGACCACAAATTCAAAAAATCTTTATTTTTTCTTAAACTCCGTGCCCAGTCAAACAGGTTCACATAAATTGGAACAAAGGGAAAATAAATTGTAAACATTTTTTCATGTCAATATAATGAATTTTTTTTTTAATATATTGGTCAAAGTTTGTATAATTTGATTCTCGATAAACGAATGTATCGTCTACTTTGAAACGAAGGTAGTATAACTATTTATATAGAGAAGGAGTGTGTGGAGCAGGTAATGAGACTAAAATAAAAAGTTTTTTTCCTGTGATTTAAAGAGAGAAAGTGATACAGTATACTCCCTCTGTTCCAATTTATGTGAACCTGTTTGACTGGGCACGAGTTTAAGAAAAATTGAAGACTTTTGGAATTTGTGGTCCTAAACAAGTTAAAAAGAGGCCCAGAGTATTTGTGTGGTTATAAAAGCTTCTCATTAAGGGTACAATTGTAAGTTTAAGCTAAATTGTTACCAAATTTAGAAAGGAGACGTCTTTTTTGGAACGGACAAAAAAAAAATAAGTTCACATAAACTTGAATAGAGGGAGTATTTTTTTAGTGAAAGAAAAAGAGAAGTTGAAAAGAATGGTGGACCATGGAAAGTGGGAAAAGTAAAGTGAAATAGAACGGAAAAGGGGGTTACAATATCAACCATTACTTGTATACGTGGACACGTGCCTTTGATTAATCAGTACTCCTTTCATTTCTATTTAGAAGAGATAGTTTGACTTGGCACGGAGTTTAAGTAAAAATAAGAATACTTTTGAAACTTGTGGTCTTAAAAGCTTAAGGGGTAAAAGCTTTGTGGGGCATGACGTTTGTGTGGTTATAAAAACTTCGAGATAATTTTATCTATGGTCATCGAACTTTTATGTTTATTATCCAAAAGTCACTTTCCTTTTTTTTTTGTTACGTAAAAATCATTCAACTTTGTGTTCATTACACAAAAGTCACTTTTCTTTCTTTTGTTACACAAAAATCATTTTACTTTGCTCTAGTTATCACAAAAGTCACTTTTTTACTTGAAAAGTCTATTATGCCCTTGATATATATAAACCTTCATATTTATGTAATACCTTCTATATTATATACTATATAATATATTTTTAACTATGTATTTTATTTATTATTTTTATAATATATTCGTATATTTTATTTTTTTCTTAACTTTAAATTTCAAGATATATTAGTAGCGTTAAAAAATAACTTTTTTCAGCAATTCTTTTTTTTTTTAAATTTAATTGACCAACCAATGTTGGTCGGTAATTTCCGACCAACTATGGTCGGTATGCCTTTCCGACCTTCAAAATACCGACCAAATGTTAATGGTTGCGTTTTGGACGGTAATTGGCCATTACCGGCCAACTTTGGTCAATTTTTTCGGAAGGTTTTTTCCGAATTTCTAGTAGTGTAATTTGCCAAATAACCAATTGCCCAGGTAAATTCCCAAGAAAATATCCCCAGCTAAATTCGCATGTAGTACCTAGAGATTTTCCTTCAGATTAACATATGATTTGTTCCTCAATTTCTTTGTTTGTTTACCTGCGAATTTTCTCACGAAAATGTACTTGCTGATTTATTTCTCTTCTAATATATATTAAAGTTACTGACATATTTAATAACGCTACTAATATATTTTGAAAATTAACGTTAAGAAAAAATTAAATATACGAATGTATTATAAATATAATAAAACAATAATATTAAGTTATTTTATTAATAAATAAAATACATAGTTAAAAATATATTATAGTATATAATATAGAAGGCATTACATATATATGAAGGTTTATATAATATCAAGGGCATAATAGACTTTTCAAGTAAAAATGTGACTTTTGTTATAACTAGAGCAAAGTAAAATGATTTTTATGTAAGAAAAGAAAGAAAAGTGACTTTTGTGTAATGAACACAAAGTTGAATGATTTTTACGTAACAAAAAAAAGAAAAGTGACTTTTGGGAAACAAACACAAAATTTCAATGACCATTGATAAAATTAACTCTAAAAACTTCTCATTAACGGTAAAATGAGTAAAATGAAGAGTTTAAAATTAAATTATTCCAAATTTAGATTATATGTCAGTTATTTTGAAACCGACTAAAAAGAAAAGTAACCCATCTAATTTGAAACGTAGGGATTGCATTGAACATTACTCGAGGATCCCAAACTCCATGTTGAGAAGTATATAGCTCAAGTGCTGTGGTTAGCGATGAGCCTATGACAATGACTCTTTGCTAGTTTCCACCGGAGCTCACGTGATGATGAGAAAGATAGATTAAAAGAGGGGAGAGGTGAAAAATGAATTGAGGATGAGAGAAGAATCAATGGGGTATTATATTAATGTATTTAAACTGCCTTCCAATTCCAGCTAGCTGGAGGAGACAGTCCGACAAGAAACGTTTTATTTTTTAATATAAGATCAAACAATTGCAGAAAGCTAAAAAGATGATCTGAAGCAAAACAGCATATGTTTAGCGGTGGACAAAATCAGCATAACACTTCATCATCCGTTTAGCTTCCTCCGTTTCAGGTTTACATATCTGAAAGGCATGTCCCTCATCAACCTCAAGATACTCCAATTCTCCATCCCATCCACTCTCCTTCACACCTTCAACAAATCGAACCCCAACTCCTAAAGGAATAATATCATCTTTCTTTCCCATACACACCAAAATTCTTGAACAGCCTAGCCTCGATAAAGATGGAGCCTTTTCAGAAAGCGGGTTAATCAATGGGCTATCAACAGGGGATACTAACCCTGACTCTAGTGGCGGACAAATGTTGACCCAAATCTTATTAGCCTGTCCCTCTTCATCAATGTCTATATTTGGGAACAAGAAATAAGGATAAGCAAAAATTGATCCAGTAATTTTCACCTCGTTGTTCAAGTTTTCTTTGCCAGCCCTCATAGTCATATGGTATACTAAATTGCCACCAGCACTGTCCCCAGCTAAGAAAACTCTACTAAAATTACCATGGTTAGTTAACCATGAGTCTTTGTTAACTACGGTGGATTTGTCTTCAGCGTGCGAAGCGACCCATTGAAGTGCGGTCCAACAATCTTCATATATCGTTGGCACATCAACTTCTGGGGCTAGACGGTACTCTACAGAAACAGCAATTACGTTTAACTCAGAAGATAAAGAGTTGACGTAACAGTGATTCCCATTGAAGAAGGCAGATTGAACGACTAGTCCACCGCCGTGGTAATACACTAGGACAGGGAGTTTTTGGCCGGCAGTGGTGTTTTCTGGAAGGTAGAGTCTAGCGGAGACGTGGGGTGAGATGGTGACGTCTTTAGAGAAAACGCCGGCTGATGCATTTTCCGGCGACGGCGGAACGTATAAAGCGCCGGGTACATTGTAGGGACGCTCAACACGGCCGCTTTTGTAGACTCGGAAATAGGCGTCCACTTCTTTGACTACCACATCGTCGCCGGAAGCCATAGTAGTTGAGAAATTCAATAAAATACATATATCAGAATGGTGTTATGGTATGGTGTATATATGATTATTATTATAGGGATATATAGTTAAAGAGGAGTGAAAGCAATAGTTAACCACACTAGGTATAGGATCCAATTTTTCTAGCCATTGCTTTTTTTTTTTTTTTTTTTTAGGGGGGGGGGGGGGTAACGGTAATGATTTTAAATAATTAAAAAAAAGAAACAATGACGACCAGATGGGAGGTTTTCAGATATGAGAATAAAGGAGAGAAATTGACAAACATAATGAAACAACGCATAATAAACTCGAAAATAATTAATAGCCAATAATTTGATAGCAAAATCACGAGACATATACTAAAAATCATATCTAATCGACTGAGGTGGCGATGAAAATTATTCGAATTATATATATACACACTAATTTGAAAACCCTTAATAAAATTCTTGATTTTGGCAATGATAACATGGTATTCTAGTGGTGTTAATCGTGTTTGCAGCTTCTAAACCTTCAAACATCCCGTGGCGAAGTTACAACTGTGCAAGAATGATCATCACCTTTAACACCATTCATCGAAAAGTTATAACATAACAATAGATCAAGTATTACATTTTTTATATAGACGTTCTAGAACACCCTTGAAACAACTGATAGGTGTGGTCCACTGGTGAAGGGTCCAAGCTGTAGAGTTCTGTATTGGGTGATACCCTTTTTTGCTTGAGCCCGACCGGGTTGGGTCCGGTCCGGAGCAAATCGGGGCCATCGAACCCGACCTGGATGCAAGGTAGAACGACGGCCACGTCTACAACCGAGGTCGAGTCATTTCGAGACCGTTACAGAGCTCGATAGGAGTCACCACCGGATGGAGAAACACACAAGGTCGGAAGCCGGACTCGTAACGGATAACCAAGCGTCGCCGGATATCTCGCCCAAACGTGATTTTCTCAACCACTTCAGGCCATTAAGGCGTAATTACAGGGATCCACGATGTAATCAATTTACCTACCTTATTTTTACCCTTAATCAGAATCTATAAAAGGGGATCTCTCTAAATTCTTGTGGGGATCGGAAACCATTACACTACAGGGGATCTCTCTAAATTCTTGTGGATCATCAAGCACAATTGTTCTAAGCAATATTATATTCTGCGATTATTTACTTTAACAGCAATTGTTGAGTCTTTATCTTTATTTTCCTTAACCTAAAAACCTTTTGTATCTTTTAGTTCACGGATCCTTAAAACCCCATATAAATTCAATTGTTATCCGGATTCGAGGGTAAACAGTTTGGCGCCCACCGTGGGGCTAAGGATATTGGTGAGCTCTTTGATACTCTTTCTTGACGCATCACAATACACTGGTTCTTTGCAAAAGAGTCCATCTTACATTCAAATTACCAACTCATAGAATGGCACAATCAATTAACAACGAACTTGAACAGCAGACAGGAAACAATGGAATGCCCGGGCTCGAAAACCCGATAGATGCCGGTTCCCGGATGGCGCTCAACACTGATCAGGCCTCCGGATCATCGCATAGCGTCCGGGGAGAGGACGATTCGAGGGCCCAGGCAGTCGGCGAAGAGACTATCAACCTTAAAATGATTTTTGACATGCTGCAAGCCCAGCAATCGGCTATAGCTCAGCTCCAGAGCCGGGTCCAGGAGCCTGTCAGGTCCGAGGAGGCTCCCCGTGCAGCTGCAATCATCAATCCAACCCCAGTACAGCCGGAACGGGGTGGGCCGGATGCTGATTCTGCGGTTCTTAGGAGGCTAGAAGAACTGACCGAACGAATCGAAAAGGGGGAGGAAAAAATCGAGGCCAACAATAAAAAAGTAGAAACATACAACTCCAGGGTCGACCAAATACCAGGTGCACCTCCGGTCCTGAAGGGCCTTGACGCTAAAAAGTTTGTACAAAAACCGTTCCCATCCAGTGCCGCCCCAAAACCTATCCCTAAGAAATTTAGAATGCCCGATATCCCGAAGTATAATGGGACCTCGGACCCAAACGAGCATGTGACAGCATACACATGCGCGATTAAGGGAAACGATCTCGAAGATGATGAAATCGAGTCAGTTTTGTTGAAAAAGTTCGGAGAAACCTTGTCCAAGGGGGCAATGACGTGGTATCATAACTTACCGCCAAATTCCATCGATTCGTTCGCCATGTTAGCCGATGCCTTCGTGAAAGCTCACGCCGGGGCGATCAGGGTAGAAACAAGGAAATCCGACCTATTCAAGGTCCGATAGCGCATAAACGAGACACTCCGGGAATTCGTGTCTCGATTTCAAATGGAGAGGATGGATCTTCCCCCAGTCACGGATGACTGGGCAGTACAAGCCTTCACTCAAGGATTGAACGCCAATAGCTCAGCCGCATCCAGGCAATTAAAGCAAAGCCTGATCGAGTTTCCAGCAGTTACGTGGGCAGACATCCATAACCGGTACCAATCGAAGATAAGGGTAGAGGACGACCACAGTGGAGCGAGTTCGGATTCGCCATCCACACATAGGAATTTCGATCGACCTCGTAGGGAAAACTACAAAGATTCAAGACCGAACAAGGAAAGATATCGGCCGTATCAGGATGATAGGAGGCCTAAATTTACGAGGAACGATCGCGGCTATGAGAGGAACAGAAGACCGTTACCGAAGGCCAACCGTCGGGAAAGCCGTCGATAGACAGGAAGCACCCCGATTAGCTGAATATAATTTCAGTGTCGATTCGGCTACCCTGGTGTCGGCAATCGGACGTATCAAAGAAGCCCGATGGCCCAAA